CCTGCATTTTTGCGTGCGGATTATTTTTCTTGGCATTTCTGTATTGTCTGAAATAAATGTTTATTTACATTAGATGTCACTAGTTCCATTCACACCTCTGAAGTTCACTGACATCAGTGCTCATGAAGATCAGTTCATTGGTTCTGAAGGTATTAGGGAGGATATGTGTGCATAGACACACATGGATGTGAGTCCATATGTTTATCCTCTCATATAAAATAATAAGGGCTAACACTTATAAAGAAGAATTAACATCACACACACAGATGCAAATCTTCAGATGTTCAGTAATAAGTGGATTGAGCGATTCTTGGTTTACTTCACAACTCATTATCATCTTAGGATTTGTAATTTTGAATGTGAAGTGTTTGTGACCATTACAACACACAGAAGGAATTGATCGTGACTTGTTTTAAGGTGCAAAATCCTTGTATGTCTTGAGTAAAATGCTCCTGGGATCTTCCAAATACAAATGGTGTGTGCTAACCACTCAACTTCAGTGTTTAATATTAAGTGGATTAATCATTATTTCAGTTGTAGTTTAGTGTTTTACAATATCTCAGCCATAAGGCATTTGCTTGGTGGAACTAAAAACAGTGGTGTTTGAGCCAACTTGCTCAGTATATAAGTGTATCAAATGGTATGAGCTGAAGAATTTAGGAACAGATTTAATTGGTCAAGCCATATGAAACTGTCCTTAAATAATAGTGCAACTGTTTCTTACTTTAATGATAATTTCCATCTGCACAGGTCATGCAGCATAGGACAGGAAGACATATTGGGATTGATGTGGAAGGATCAGTTATGACCTGTTTCAAGATACTATCCCAGCATTTGATTGGAGGAACCAAAGAAATCTATAAGAAACCTCAGTCAAGGGACTCAGTTTCTGGACAAAAAGGAGACCTGGAACCAAAATATGAAGTAAGGTTTTCCTCACCTAACTGAAATGTTTGGTTCAACAGAATTTAATTTGTTATTAGACAGAGATATGGGAAGGTTTGGTAGGGGTGGAAATTTTTACCTCAGGCTTGAACTTCAAAAGAAATCATAGAATGAAGGTAACTGTAAATAAGTGGTAGATTTGTATTTTACTTAAAATATCATGTTTACTTTAGATTTGTCTTACATCCCCTTCAATGACTGTGTCACACAGAGATTGTAGAACAATTTACCTTGTAACAATTCCCAACCTGTGATCTGACAGCTTTGGAGTTTAGGTATGTAATCCCTTAATTGTCTTTCTGATGCAATCAAGTCCCCATGTCTTCCGAGAAAAAGTCCTAGATAGGCTTGTGCTAGTTCAAAGTCCTTATTACTAATCAACATTGACTCAATAAGCTTCATGAACAGTAACATAAGGTCAAATGACCCACCTCCTTCTGGGGCAAGAGAAGAGACTTCAAAGTCAATCACTGAAGGACCCATGGCTTTCAGCTTGGCAACAACTGGCTGAAAATTGTTGGTTTCAGCAGCATCACTTAGCAGCTGTGCAAAACCTGAAAGACTCTGTAGACTTGCAGGCATTCTGATGTTTGTTTCTTCTTTGTCAGTTGTTTTATTTAAGTCAAACTGAAGGTTTAGTGATGGTATGGTTGGAAGAAAGAATGGTGCTGCTTTTGGTACTTTTGGTGGTTCTTTAGGTTTGTTGCGCTTCTTTACTATATCAATATCCAGAAGGTTTTGCCACCTTGAACTCGCAACCAAAGACAATGTTACAAGGTCTTTACTGATTTGATCACAGGACTTAAACTCAGGTTCTCCATCATTGAGTTTGTCTTCCATTCCTTCCTGTTTTTCACCCATGGTTGTTGGGAGTTTTAGTAAAGGGACTTCAGTTGGCTCAGAGATTGCACGAAGTGAAACATGTGAATATAATGTTCGGTTAGACCAAAGGAACACACCAAGATAATCCACATGAGTTGTTGCCAAGAGGTCACCAGTTGGTGAAAGGCTCAGTGAAGTGCAGGCAGCATCCAGCTAAAAATAAGGGAAACGCATGTTATGAGTGGTGTTCATGATGAAATCTGTCCGAGTTATCCGTCTACCAGTATAGTTTGGAGGGATCAGGCAACTTAAGGTGAACAGAAGTCATGCACTTAAGTTTACTATTTTAATATTTTAGATAAAAGAAATATTTTTAGCATAACTACTTTACTTTATAAGGAAAGATACGATTATGGTATTACGTACCAGTGCTTGCATTTGTCTTCCATGTCCTTTGACCCAACAAATTTTCATGAAACTGGAGGTGACCCCACTTTTGTACTCTATGTTATTATCTAAAACAAAAATTAAATCAGTACAAACCTGAAAACAGTCAATAAGCTGTGCCGATGGAATGTCCCAAGTGCAGACAGTACAGTCCATAGCAGCTGTTACCAACCAGCGTGAGTCTGGACTGAACGTAGCATCGGTCAATTGTCCTTTATGCCCCTGGAATTTCCTCACAACTGTATGAGTGTCCAAATCTATGATGATAATAGTGAAATCTTCCAGAGCTGCTGCCAACATTGAACTGTCATGGTGAGGTCGAAAGAATGACACTGATTCTTCTACATCAAGCTTTGTTACTGCTGTTGAACCTTTGGGACAAAAGTAAAAACTTCACATATCTTGATTATTCATAACAAACTTACAGGTAGATTAATTCACCCTGTCAAAAGAACATGTTCTGAGGTATATCAGATGATATGTACCCTTGAGACAGAGTTTCAGGGATGCCAGATATGAATGAAAATTACAACCAATGGAAAGAGGCATCATCTTAATATTAGTCATAAAAGTCTGGTTAGGTAATATGAGTTTACTCTCTGTGCCTTTTCTTATATGTCCTTGAATATTTGTGTACATTTCTCATGTCAGTAATAGAAACATGAGCAGTGGTGGGTGAAGTTCTTCTCATAGCTGGTTATCCTATAGTATTACCAGATTCATGATGTAGGTTATCAAGACCCTGTTGAACACAATTACCAAAATAAGTCATCAGAAGAAACCTTGCAAATGGAAGGTTATGTCATGTCACTTACCTGGAGATTTAAAATGCCAGAATCTGACCAGTGCATCACTTCCACCAGTGACTGTCATCTGATTTAAGTTATCTGTAGCCACACCCCTCACAGGTCCTGTGTGGGCAGATGGGTGGCCATAGCTTCCTCTGTGAATACCAGACTGGATGTTGAACCTATCTACATGGCCTGTACTGTATCCTATCAGCACAAAGTTGCCACAGGAAGTGAGGCACAGACATGTTGCAACAATGTTCACCTTCAACTGTGATTTCTTAGCATCAAATCTTTCTGGTAATAACTTGAGCTCTCCCATCTTTAACTTGTCATATGACCACGTTGTGACGGTAGCCAAACCTAAATGAACTGCTGCGATGTTATCCCATTCCTTCTCTCTTGTTGTTTCTGATGTAAACTGCACAATTGGGGGCATCTTTAGAGGATCTCCCAAACCTTTACTTTTCTTTTTTGAGAGCTTGCGATTATATGAAGCTTGTCCAAGATTCTTATTGAAAGTTTCTGTTACAGTAGAAAATATTCGAAGTGTGGAATCCCCTCCTGCACTCAGCAAATTGTGACCGTTACTTCCATGAAATCGAACACATGAAGGTGGTGCACTGTGCCCTTCACGAATATGCAAAAGTCGTGCCCCTCCATCTGGCATGTCAAATATCCACATCTTTAATGAATTGTCTGGAGAGGAGGTGACAAAAAGGGGTTCATTTGGAAGACACTGAAGCCCAGTTACTGCATTATTATGTGCTGCCAGCAACTGACTCATTACTTTCCGTTCTTCCAAATTCCAGAATACAACATGTCCTGACAAACTACCTGAAACCAATACTGGGTGTCCATCAGTTCGAAAAGACAAACAGGTTACAAGTCCCCAGTCTTGCATAAATTCCATGACAGTTTCATCAAACTTTAGATTGTGAAGAATTATTTTACCATTAGCCAAACCAACTGCTACAACATCAATAGCTGGTGCTTGTTCCAGAACAGTGATAGCTGATGTCCAACCTTTGAAAACATAAATTTGTTTTGCTGAATGAATATTCCATAGTTGCATGATTCCTTGTTCACTACCTAACAAAACCTTATTCAAGTATGTTACAGGATGAAGTATTGTGGTTATATTAAATGTGTTATTGTCAAATGTCAGCTCCAAGTGCAACTCCTCAGACTTGACATCCCATATCTTAAGAATGTTGTTTTCGTCAACAGAAAGGAGATGAGGTCCAAAGGGCAAAAGCAGGTGCACTGGACAGGAATGTCCAACATATGTATGCTTGAGTTCTGTTCCTCGCCTCCAAGCACGAATTACATCATCACTTGCAGTGTACACGTGATAAGCGTCTGCAGCAATACATGTTACTTCACCAGAATGCAAGCCACTGACACTAAGCAATGTAAATCTTGAACAGCCGTACGTATGAAATGCTTTTCCAACACATGTTACGACCAAGTTTTCTTTTCTACAACGAATATATCGCACGACTAATGGGATATGGTTACTAACATAACCTAGAGCCCTATTGCTCATAAATATTCTACTAGATTGGGCCATTTATAGTTATCAACGCAAAAAATGTTTGCTGATACACTAAGCGACTATTCAATCAAAAATTCTTCTGCACCAGCTACTGATGAATATATCTTTCACCTGTATAAACAGACACCACAACCCGAGAATGAAAAAGTTGGTTATGTTGGTGAACATGATATGCCCTTTGTGGAATGTAAAGTGTCGCCAGATGGTGGATGATATCGGAACTGTACATGACGTCATCATAAAACTCGTACAGTTTTTGAAATTCCAGAACTAACTTCAAATGTAGTTGTATTATCGTAGGAACAGCAGGTGACATATTTGGTATGATAGTGGAAAATTGAAATTGCATTCAGTAGGAAATTAAGAATAGAATATAAATTCAGCAAATTTAAATTTTAATGTCAAACTTCAATATATTAATGCGTTACTGAGTTCAGTTCCATATCCTGGAGAGGAACAGTTTAATATATTTAGTGTGCCCCATTTTTAGCTTAATATTTGTCAGTAAGTTCAGGAGCAGTAGAGATTGTTAAAGCAATTAAAAGTGGTTAGTTTGGATAACAGTGCTGTACTTATAATCTCTAACACATTACTGGAAGTTCTGCCTACTGTTGTATTTTACTCACAGATTAGGCTGAGGAACGTGAGCATACCTGTATGGGGCGATCGTGATCCTGGTGAAAATGAGTTCCATTACATCCAGTCATTACATCAATGAGCCCAAGCATATAAATGGTTTTAGAAGTGGGGTACACACAGCTTCCTCATCACAGGTACTGAAGTTTTACTATTACTTCTGATGCACACCACTAAATAATATTTAAAAATTGTCTTTAGTTCTAAGTGTATCTCCATTACAAAGATCAGTTTATTAATGCTATTTATGCTGAAAATCATTTCTAACCCAGCAATACAATCAGTGGGCAAAATGTGGAATTACTGAATGTTAAAGAAGGTGGTTCATGTAGTAAACACTACTTTAAAGAGTTAAATCCACTGTATCCTGCTTCTGTCAAACCATTTAATTTAAATGCTCCGTATTCAAAATGTTTATTACATTAGCCCCAGCAGGGAGAATTTAGTTTTTCATTGAAAGGTTTGAATTGATGGTGCTTGTTGAAAGGTCTTAATAAAATATGTCTAGCCAGTTTGTTGTAGAATATGTCCAATTTGAATATTATCATGACAATATTTTCTTTAATATTAAGGGACATATGTCACAACAGGTATGGGAAATTAACATTTTAAGTATGCCAAATTTACAGTGGGCACGTTAATAAAATAGTGATCCTGTGATATACTTTCCGATTTATAAATGTTAAATACTAATCGTTATATGCACTCGCAAAGAATTCAGAAAGTCTGTACATGTTACTTTATATTTTTAATTTGAGGGCTACCATAATGCAAGATTTATAATTACATGTGCAGTAAGAGAGACACCCTTATTTTTCTTCTTCTTCTTAAAGTGCCTATCCGTTCCGGATGTTGGCAATCAGCATAACAGTTTGAGCTTTATTGGCTGCTACTTGAAACAGCCCTCCAGTGGACATCGAGAACCAAGTTTTTTTAGGTTCTGAAGCCAGATGGATTATTATTAAGTGTTATGCTTTTTATCCTACTACTGCAATTCAGCATTTCATGTTTAATGTTATATTAAAATGTACAAATGTAATGTATATAAAATAACATTATTTCACTTTTGGAGTATTTATTCTTAAAATTCAATTCAAGACATATATGATTACATTCATTACAAGAGGAAAATTATTACTGTGTATACATATATTCAGCCTAAGTCATGAACAAATATCATGGAACGCCACAATATGCTAGGAGAAAATACAAACTGGTGAAATCACCTTATAGGAACTGCATTTTCTTGCGAAAACATGCAATAAAGAAGCCAACTGTATCAGTGTCACAGTCATCACCTACTATTGGGGGACAAAACTTCTGCACACATTGCCTCTGCTCTTCAGTGAGGCCTGATCTTCTCAGTCCTGGCCCACCCAACAGTGGCTCCGCAGGCACTAATTCTAAATTCAGGAAATGTTCCAGAGCCCAAAGAACCAGCCCCTCATTCTCATCAACAGTCACTGTACAAGTACTGTACACGAGAGTACCTCCGGGCTTCAGCAACGACACTGCCTGAAAGAATAATTAAACATCAGAGAAGAGTAACCCACGACAGTGGAAGGAAGTGGGGGATGGAGGAGCTTCATAATGTATACGTTCAAGCAAGTACTGTTAAGATAACTGAATCAAGGACATTTCCAAAAACTGGATATGTAGCTTCAAGGTGGAAACAAAAAATAAATACAGAATTTTTTTGGGATAAGAAGTTATTTGGTAGACTGAAGAGATGGATTATATTACAATGGGGAAATGATATATGCTGCATGTGAACTGCATGTTAAATGGCATATTATTAATTTGAGTCCTGTTACCAGTTTTAGAGAAAAGTTATTTGAAAAGCAAACATTATATGAGGTAGAGGTAAAAGTCTACCTAGCCTCTCCAGTGGCTAATGGGTTTCTTTCTTATAGAAAAAAGCAATCATAACATGTAACTTGACATGCCCATGCTGATTATCAGCATGTGTAGAGCTTGACTGTACATCTAGTAGTGCCTTAATTATATCATACTTGGCATGTTTAACCTTTATAATCATAACATAATTCACATGGTAGTGTATATTCTGCAAATTATTTTAATTATTTTTTTCACATAAAATTTGAGGCAGAATGTTCATCTGAAATGTTGGTATCTACCTATATGCTTCAGAAGACTGACATTAACATATTTTTAGAATTTCAAAGAATATTCTCTCATAGAACTCATATATGTGGTGATGTACAATCATTATCAATTGAACTGTAGAGGAGGACATAATTTGAATGTTTATAATGTAAGATCACTTACCGAGTGAAACAGCTTGCGTTGTAGAGGTGGATATGATCTGAGTTGATTAACTGTGATTCTGTTTGCCAGTTGAGGTCTTTGTCCTAATGCACTGCACGGTGCATCAAGCAGAATTCTGTCAAATGATTCTGGTCTGAATGGTGGACCTTGAAGAACCAAATTATGTCGTTCTTTTGGATCACATGGATCTGCGACTTTCTGAATAGTTTTGGTGGAATCACATACAAAAGTATGTACACTGTGAAGTGAGAACTGCTGACAACGTTTCACAATGTTGTTCACTTTAGATTTTGTCTTGTCCAGTGCTATGATGATACCCTACAAAGTATTAATTAATTCAAGAACTATAAATAATTAACACAAATAATATGTTAAGATCTAAAGTAAAACACTATATAGAATTTTATATTTTCATGCTGACTAAATGCGGTGAACTCTTGAGTGATCAGGCATGTTGATATGGAGTGAAAGAGTGGCATTTCAGAGGCTGTCTCTGCATCGATGATTAGTCACTGATGATGGAAGCAGAGAAAATCATACAAAACATCACACTTTTACTCCATACCAATGCTGCCGATTGTTCAAGAAGACTTCACTGCATTGACATACTACCTGATCTCCCATAAGCATTGCTAAGTGTGATGTTTTGTTTCCTGGAGCTGCACACATGTCAAGGATTATCTCATTTTGCAGGGGACTCAGCACATGACCACACACGATTGAGGGCAGATTCTGCAGTAAGGCTAAGTTAGAAGGCAAACAATTTGCTCCTATCACGGGACAGCCAGATATTGTTGCTGTCATTTCAATTGCAACTCCACTGTAATAACAAAAGTTAGTTTTAACGTTTCACATCATTCACTGATTCCGTGATAGAAGGTTAGCCTTGGGCAGAAGTCAACTGGTAAAGAAATACATCGCAGTAGAATAACAAGTACAACTTTCATCACAAAATCTTACCACTGGATCCTATGCTGGGATAATTCAAACAAATAAATATCTCCACAGCATGTCTTTTTCTTATATTCATTTTAATATCATCCATCCATGCATGGGTCTCCCAGATTATCTCTTTGAGATTTTCCAACCAATATTTTGTTTTCCTATGCAGGCCAAATGCCTCATACTTGATTTAATTTCTGTAACAATATTAAGTGTAGAGTATTTAATGGGAAGTTCCTCTTCTTTCAGTTTTCTCCATTCCTCCATTACTTAATCTCTGTTAGGTCCTCAGCACTTAGTTCTACAATTCTTCTGTCAGACAGACTCATATAAATCAAGAAAGAACCTATGTAATAAATATTGATAAATTCTAAACACCTTGGATTTAGAAGACAGCCATCTCCATACTCACTGCTGTGAAAGCCTCAAATCCTACATTCGATTTAACTCTTTATTGGGTCATTTAAATTCACTGTATTCTTTTTTACAACCACTTAATTTTCATGCCATTTGTACACAACATTTAACATGAACTGTGTTCTACCTACTGCATTACTGGCAGCAAGGAGTGAAGTTCAATGATACTGAACATTAACTCACGCTGGCTTTAAGTCTTTGGCATATAACTGCTTGCGTTCCATACGCACAACGCCAATCCCAAGGAACATTCTGGAACCTTGTGCATAAGGTTTCTGAAAGCCTTTCTTGCATTGGCCTACAATATCTGCAAAAACACTGACAGTGTCTCCACAGTGAATACCTGCAATTATATAATTACAATATATTACCATAGATAAAAGATGTAGAATATTTCATAATACAAATTACAGGAACTGGATACCCCATCCCACCCAAAATTCTGTCATTTTAGTGTCAATGCTAAACATTTTCATGAAGAATGGAGGAACCTTACCTGACATAAAACATCCTAACCCATAAGGATTTACTGTTAAAAAGATATTTAAAATTTGCTTATATTAGTTATTTTCATTGTATTATAAAATATTGTTAACAGTGTAGAAGTAGTTTGTGGTCCGTCTTGGTTAATTTTTGTATATTATATGTTCCTTATGAGGAAAACATAATTTTACAACTAAGCCACAAAATACATAGTTTGTCTGCTAAAAGTTCTCTTAATTGCATAGGAGGTTCATTATAGTAATTCCAATAGTCTTTTATGCAACAGTCTACATCATTTGGTTATGATGGTATTAAAAAGTCAAACACGAATACCTGAATACAGAATATCCCTAAGTTCTATTTTAGTCTATGAAGCACCTGCTGGCATGCCCATGACTCCTGGAGCAAACACATGAGCCCCTCTTAACACTGCTGCACCACAGGTAGCATCAACAATAACTTCCTTTCCTTGTGGCCTTATATTGGCTTTATCCATACTGCCTATTACAATAGTATCTGGTAACTTGGGATGAACTGTCACATTATAAATTTCCGGGTAGTTTCCATGAGCTGCTGCTTGCTGTCAGTAGACATAAGTTAGGTTCATGAGTACAGACATTAAAGAGGAAAATAAACAATACAAATGCATTTCATTGCAATTTGTTCAGATGGCTCATAAGACATGTCAAGACAGACATTAAAGTTTTAATATTTCATAAATGCAACTCCAATATTGTGTGTATTGTAAATATCTGTATCAAACCTTGTAAAGGTGATGTGCAAGTATTTCACAAACTTCATCCACAGTGGACACGAGAGTGTTAACACGGAAAGTAGTAAACTTTGGTGCTGTACATAACCATGACAGCAGTTTGTCTATTTGAGACTCGTGGCACGCTTCCTAACAGAAATAATTTTCACAGAGTTACTTAAAAGCTGTTGCTTGTGTTTAAAAGCGAACATTTTGCTTCCATATATAAGAACATCTCAATTCACATATATAGGCCTAAACCTAACCTATACTGTAAAAATAACTCACCGTATTTCTTAGTAATTCATGTTTTAAATACGATTCAACTTCCAAATTATTCATAAAAGGCGTCATTGTGGTTTGTATGAAACAAATGAGAACGTTCTAATTACTGAAATGAAGAATTAAGTTTACTGTACTCATGCCGAAGACCTCTATACGATTCAGAGATCGAAAATGTGATTTGAATACCTCAAATAATAAAAATAGTTTACACTTTGAGGATAAAATCTGTGATATGTACACAGGTGAGGTATCTGCAATCGTCTTTCATAGCCGATAGCTTATTCACTGTTCTTGACATAATTATTGTATGGTGGTTGACAAACCCTTTTGTGCCTACCCTTCGTTCTAATTTTAATTTAAAAACTACTTTTGGAGACTATAATCTGTCTCCGTTCTCAGGCCCAATCGATAGCTCTCTATTGTCGCTTGGTTAATAGGATTCGGGAAGTTTTTTGCAGTAATGAGAAGCCTCTAATCCGACTGCAGATCCGGACTTGCTTGACATTTGAAAATAAAATCTGCAAAAAAATTATAGGACATTACTCTGGAAATCCCTGGATTATTTTAAGCGAGTGTGAAAAGTGAGCGAAATCGCTACTTTACAGATAAGATAAGATCGATTCTCGAGTTACTGCAAAGATTAACAGGTTAAATCAGATACTTGTATCGCTTACCAGCGCACCACTTGCTGTATTTTAATTATCTGACAATTCAGTTGACAAACATGTTCTTACAGTTTTCCTCCCAATTTATGGGAAACAACCAGACCGGCTCTGTGACCCATCCAGTACCATTTCATTTAACAGGTACAGGGAAAAAAGTGACTGGAACCAACCAGTCTGTTATATGAATACTACTACATTTCCTTCGCTGCTATTTGTTCTGGTTGCCAAAACATACATTTATTAATTCCTATGTAGAGCTTGAAAGTATTATACATTTTGATAGGACTCCTTGGATGGGTTTCGACCCTATCACAAATATGAATTCATATTACATTGTTGCGGAAATCCACCCTCGTACTTTATTTGTAGTTTGAACTTTCTTCTATGGTCTGTATTTGATTGCAAGCTCATATCTGAAGTGTTTTAACCTATCAAGTAATTGTTCTTGTTATCTGATAGAAATATATCTTCTTTGCCCCACTTTATTAGAGATTAACTGTAGGTAAATAGGTATAAATGTAACTAATTTTGTACTCGCCGTGTTCAGACTTGGCGTGAAAGTTTGAATTTGTATACGTATCGTGATAACAAAGCAAGTTAAATGATTCTGCTCTTGATTGCATTGTTTTTCATCGGCTTTGTAACAGGTATGTTATGCTGCAACAAGAAGTTTGCCTTTAATATTCCCAAAAGACAACTTGTCACCTTACTCAGAAAGTTTTGGAAAAAAAAATACCGAGTCCTTGCAGATGAACTTATTCAGCTTAAAATAATAACATAAGTAAATGTTGGAACCATAATAGCGTCATTAAACTTATTGGAAAAAAGTCGTATCTTAACAGAATTTAAGAAAAATATTGATGCTCTGTCAGCGAACTTTTAGAATTACAGATACGTGCAGTTTGTTGTGCTTTTGCATTTCATTCACACAACTACTGGATCATCTAATCCAGTTACGGAAAATTCGCCGCAGTAAATCTGCTGATTTTCTTCATTAAAATTTTGAAGAAGACCGTTTTCCGTGTGTTGCGCTGAATATTCCAGGGATCTTCTTGAAACGTCTGTGAGGTACTATCAGACTATGCAACGCAACAAAACAGAAGAATGTAATTCTTTACTCTCCGCCGTGAGAACCGTACTGGGAATGTCAGCAATGCAGTTAACTGTTTGCAGTGTAATCAAATACTTGCTTTTGATTGTTTATTAAACAAATAGACAAAAACACACAAGGAGAGGCAAAGGAATTGTAAAGGCGGCGTTGGGAAGCTGTTAACCGTGTTAGCCCGGCTAAAACTTGAAAAACGAAAAATAAAATATTTTATGGAACGAGAGACCGGAAAAGTATTTAATAGCTAAGCGACTCTCAGCTTCTCAAGAATGATTCTGCTCCATTGAACGTTCCTAAAGACACATTGCTCTGAAGTAGGTAGGTTTGGGTGTTGAAAATTACAGGGTACTTCAGTCAGAGTTCAAAAGTTGAGGAGAGTTTATGTTAAGCATATTAGTCTAATAATCAGTGTCTAACAGAACTTGATTGTCTGCACCTGCATAAGAATAGGATTTGTCTGACCACTTCTGCTGTGTTATAGTGTATGGAGTATAACTGAACCGCAAAAGTATGACGAGAATAATTTGGTCGGAGCGAAAAGCTGACCACTGACCACCTAATGCCTACTTTAATAATACGCAAGGCCTTACCTCGACGTCCCCTATATGCAGCATGACCCAGGTGAAACTTTGTCATTTGTTTCAGGCCGGTCTGGGGTTGGTCCTGGGGAACAGGACTGGGGCTATGTGACAGTGCGACCTGAAGCTCACATATTCTATTGGTTGTACTATCATGAACGGACTACTGAACATCCCCTTGTTATATGGCTGCAGGGCGGTCCTGGCGCATCATCTACTGGCTATGGAAACTTTGAGGAACTAGGCATTGTGGACACAAACCTCAACGTCCGCAACTACTCTTGGGTAGGGAAGCTCTGTTCTGAATTAATCCTTTCCATGCTGGATTCAGGATATCTCGCTTAACAGCAACTGAGAAATTCAGTGACAGGGCACCATATCTCAGCATTCAGAACTAACTGCATTGATTTTTCAGAAATTAAAATATTACATTCCCATGGGAATATTAAACAGGAAAAGATTTTGTTAAATAGAAGCCATCATTGATAGTCATTGGTGGTTTTCTGGGTTGTGATGCCATGTGGACTTATGAGTGGGTACAAGTGTTCTGGAGGAACTTACCATGGAGGCACTATGGACAATATGTAGTATTTAACAAAAATAAGTTTGAAGATTTCTATCTTCTGGGTTGTTGCGCTGTGTAGTCTGGTCGATGTTAACCAACGTTTCAGAAGTCATACTGCCTCCGTCATCAGGGCGATCATCGCAGTATGACCTCTGAAACGTTGGTTAACATCAACCAGACTACACAGCGCAACAACCCAGAAGACAGAAATCTTCATACTCACCGCTGTGAAAACCTCAAATCTTACAAAAATAAGTTTGGTTGTTTAATTGGCAGAATTTCTGACTTCAGCAGAATGATCAGCTTCAAGACTTGAGCATATTCAATTCCCAGGTAAATCCAATGTTTCTACCAGGAATTGAACCCCAGTTATCTGATTACTTTAATGTCTGCTTTCTGCTTGCAGGTGAAACATGTGAATGTCCTGTTCATTGATAACCCTGTGGGTACAGGCTTCAGCTATGTGGACAGCTATTCTGCACTCACTACAAACAATTCACAGATTGCAAAAGACCTTGTGACATTCACTGGAGGCTTCCTTGAGGCTCATCCTGAGTTCAAAACTGTTCCACTTTATATTTTCTCTGAATCATATGGTGGGAAGATGGCTGCAGAATATGCCCTCTTTCTGGACAAGGTAATTAATTTTTCTGCAATTGTAAGTGCAGTAATTCAGCACTCTGTGTGTTACTTACATCATTATATGGGGTTAGTTTACTGAGAATTTTTAAAAATTATAGTATGTAGAAATAAATATTACAAATTGTAAAATCATAGGTTTGTATGTTGTTAAAAAAAATGAAACTAGGTTGGTTCCTTTTTTATAGTAATTTATTATTTGCAGAGGTAAAGAGACCTGAAATACAACAGTAAGATTGTTAGGTCACATTTTTCTCTTTAAGATACGCTTACAATTAAATTAGAGAATAGTGGAGTGACCAATACAGTGAGAAATACATTGAATGGGATTGCTTAAGAAAACACTGCAATATAAACCTTAATGAAGGGAAGATACCAAGAGACCCAAAAGTAAGACCTGGAGCAGGTCCAGGTAGTCTTACTCATTTTCATAAAGAGGAAATCAAGATAAATTTACTGCATCTGACGATACACAAAGCTCTTGGGCCACATTTTCAACTTTTACACTGATTTATAGATTAATGATATGCAGCAGTTTTCAAAACATACTGGTTTGAAATCGGATGTCCATGGTGTATTAACACTAAAAGTATTTTTTAACGTCTTCTTCTTAGTATTAAAATCGAAGTTACATTAATATATATTGGGAAATGTATGAATGATGAAGACATGATTGTCAAGTCCCATTACTTTTGAGTGATTATATTAAGTAATGATCTGAATACTTTAATGCTTTCATTATTAGTCATTGATGGATATTTGAAGCAGAAAAAATTACTTCTAACCATTTGTATGATGCAAGCCTTGTCTTATAGTTATTCGGGGTTGTTGCGCTGTGTAGTCTGGTCGATGTTAACCAACGTTTCAGAAGTCATACTGCCTCCGTCATCAGGGCGATCATCGCAGTATGACCTCTGAAACGTTGGTTAACATCAACCAGACTACACAGCGCAACAACCCAGAAGACAGAAATCTTCATACTCACCGCTGTGAAAACCTCAAATCTTACAAAAATAAGTTTGGTTGTTTAATTGGCAGAATTTCTGACTTCAGCAGAATGATCAGCTTCAAGACTTGAGCATATTCAATTCCCAGGTAAATCCAATGTTTCTACCAGGAATTGAACCCCAGTTATCTGATTACTTTAATGTCTGCTTTCTGCTTGCAGGTGAAACATGTGAATGTCCTGTTCATTGATAACCCTGTGGGTACAGGCTTCAGCTATGTGGACAGCTATTCTGCACTCACTACAAACAATTCACAGATTGCAAAAGACCTTGTGACATTCACTGGAGGCTTCCTTGAGGCTCATCCTGAGTTCAAAACTGTTCCACTTTATATTTTCTCTGAATCATATGGTGGGAAGATGGCTGCAGAATATGCCCTCTTTCTGGACAAGGTAATTAATTTTTCTGCAATTGTAAGTGCAGTAATTCAGCACTCTGTGTGTTACTTACATCATTATATGGGGTTAGTTTACTGAGAATTTTTAAAAATTATAGTATGTAGAAATAAATATTACAAATTGTAAAATCATAGGTTTGTATGTTGTTAAAAAAAATGAAACTAGGTTGGTTCCTTTTTTATAGTAATTTATTATTTGCAGAGGTAAAGAGACCTGAAATACAACAGTAAGATTGTTAGGTCACATTTTTCTCTTTAAGATACGCTTACAATTAAATTAGAGAATAGTGGAGTGACCAATACAGTGAGAAATACATTGAATGGGATTGCTTAAGAAAACACTGCAATATAAACCTTAATGAAGGGAAGATACCAAGAGACCCAAAAGTAAGACCTGGAGCAGGTCCAGGTAGTCTTACTCATTTTCATAAAGAGGAAATCAAGATAAATTTACTGCATCTGACGATACACAAAGCTCTTGGGCCACATTTTCAACTTTTACACTGATTTATAGATTAATGATATGCAGCAGTTTTCAAAACATACTGGTTTGAAATCGGATGTCCATGGTGTATTAACACTAAAAGTATTTTTTAACGTCTTCTTCTTAGTATTAAAATCGAAGTTACATTAATATATATTGGGAAATGTATGAATGATGAAGACATGATTGTCAAGTCCCATTACTTTTGAGTGATTATATTAAGTAATGATCTGAATACTTTAATGCTTTCATTATTAGTCATTGATGGATATTTGAAGCAGAAAAAATTACTTCTAACCATTTGTATGATGCAAGCCTTGTCTTATAGTTAATAAGGAAAATAAGTTATTTGTTATTAAACTACTGTAATAAAGTATTTCCATTGCAGGCAATCAAAGACGGTAATATTGAAGTACCGCTGGAAGGAGTTGCTCTTGGAGACTCCTGGGTCTCTCCCATTGACTCGGTTCTCACTTGGGCACCATTTCTTTTACAGATGGTATGGTTGTAGACATTGGATCTAGAAGGATTAAACTGAATTGCAGTATAAGCTCTTTTCTGTTTAAGTAAAAACTATTTATAGATTAAATATATGCACAATCATATCTTTAATCAGATAAGGGCAGAATAATGCCTGAGAAAAGCACATATCTGCTTTCCTGCTATGCCCAACAGGTTTAAAATTTATCTTTTACATAATCATCCATTCACAAATTTCTGTTACCAGAACTCTTGCAGTACATGTATAAAACACAAACTGATTGACTTATTGGTTAATTATGTGGCTGACTGAGTAATCAACTAATGATTTATTATGTCTTTATATTTATTTATCATAGGCATTGGTTTCATTCTGTGCTCATATATATTTTATGGATATTTCAAAATTCATAATAAATTTAAAAACTCCTACTCATTTATTCACACATTGAAGAAAATTTTACTTTGTCATGAATGTCGCTTTTGCAGGGATTTGTAGACACTGAAGGATACAACATTATTGACAGTTATGCTCAGCAAACTAAAGCTGCTATTGATGCTGGAAAATATGAGTTGGCCACTGATCTCTGGGGCAGAACTGAAATGATTATCCTGCAAGTGACAGGTGGCATTGACTTTTACAATGTTCTGTTCCCTGTCCATAGTAGCTCTAAATCTCGGCCCATAACTTCGTTCAGAGGTAAAAGGTTTTCTTTCATTAGTTACAGCTATTAGCTATTAGAAGATTGGTCCTCTCTACTATAGAAGTTTCCTAAATCTTACTCAGAATTGTGCTGTGATGCTGCAGAGCCACTCTGGTACTTCCATTACAGACCTTCTTACAGTGAAATTACAATTTTAAAATTACTGAAATTAGAAATTAACATACTACTTTTCCATCAACTATGACATTAGAAATAATGGCTATTCTCTTCTTAGTACATTTAATTATCTGTGAGACATCCACGTACTGAAGGTGACATGCTGAAATTCTGATGGCTGAGTGGTTTAAGACTCCAATTATTTGTTCTCTAGGTCTCGTAAACAAATTGTTGCTGAGGGATGATGATGATCTGGATCACTTTATGAATACTGTTGTGAAAGAAGCCTTAGAAATCCCTGCAGAGGTTACCTGGGGAGGACAAAGCGGTGACGTTTTCGATTACTTGTCCGAGGACTTCATGAAACCAGCTACAGAAGTTGGTATGTATATATCAGAACAATTTTAGGCATTCATTCAAATGACTTTTGTAGAAAGGGGCATTGTACTCCAGAGAGTAGGTCTGAATATTAAAATTATAATGTGCATGGGAGTATAAATAATTATATTTTACAGAATATATAAGAATTAACTGCTAGTTATGCGCTGGGATAGCTGGCTGTGGGTTGGATGACTAGGTTTTTATATGTGGTAGAAGGAGCAGTTTATCTATTAGCCACCACACTCACTCAAACTGCCTCCTGTTCAGTAAGTACATTCTCCAGAGATTGAAGCTCACTACTTATCTCAATTCAGTGCCAAGGACCACAATGCATCGAGCATTACATCCACTTCCTAATATATGGTGTTGAGATGTAATGACAACTTAACCACAACTTGTTGCATTTTGATCATCCTTTCTATTTTACAGTGGAGCAGCTGCTGGAAAAAACAGATTTAACTGTGTGTGTATTTACGGGGCAGCTGGATCTCATTGTTGACACTCCGGGTAAGCTGAAATTAAACAAGTATGGAGAGTGATAATTCAGTTTGGAATACATTAAATTTTGAAAAACTTTCTTCTGTTAATTAGTTTTCATCCATCATTGGTCTTTCTTTTATTGTAGATAAACTAAGTTGTTTATTAAATGATGTTGCTCTTGCATGTTCTTTGTTATGTAGCATAGTTGTTAAGTAGTAGGAATACTGTCAATAATTTAATGTCGTTTTCTATAATCATGTGATATTTTAATAGAAATGTTGACTGCAGTGTCTTGACGTTTTCTTGCCAATACATTATACACAGATTTAATAAACTACTTTTATATATGATGTATTTTCTTTTCCAGTGGTTTCTTCAGTTGCAGACAATAATATTCTTAGTTCTCCCCATTCTAATTTTATAGTATTTATTATTGAAGTTCCATTAAAACAGCTTTGTATTCTTAACTGGAACAATTTTCTAATTTTTCTTCTTTCAGTAATGCTACACCAAACTTATCTTTGCTCTGGGGCCCTCTGTTTTTAAAATTTCTCCATTTTGTTAGTCAGTAGATGTTTGAACTGACTGGAAATTATTTCACTGCCACAAAATACATTAGTATAAATTATGTTCAGCACATTTCTCTTGTTAGCTATGATACACTGTATAACACTTTGTTTCTCGCTGACAGTGCATGTTTATGTTCATCATTATGATTTATTATAGATTCTCCATTCCTTCCTACAGCTTTGAAAACAAGTTTGCTCCCTATCTGCATCCATGTCTCCATAATGATTATTAATTTGTAGGGTCCGTCTTATCTGTTCATTCCTGTAATCTATTGTAAACATTTTTCAGTTTCTTCATTAATTTTTTCTGCAGAATCAGTCTATATTACTATTATATATACCCTGATAATTTTAAGCCATACTGCAAATATTCATTCACTTAGAAAATTATAGATGCATACTTTAGTTTCATATATTTTCCTGATAAATATGGCCACCCACAGATGTGTGCTTGTTACTTATTACTATTATTTCTTCCTTTTTTCTCTCTTCCTTTGCCACCACATCCATGTCAGCAGTCTCTTCTACAGTAAAATTGTGGGTGTCTTTCTCCAGAGGCTAAGCAGCTGGTACGTGAAGTTGACTACATATCCCCTTCACGCACAAGGCACACAAGCAGCATAGTTTGTGTTACTGTCATTACTGTACATAATTAATTACTAGAAACTACCAAAAACATATATAAATACATTGAGCACATTCCTATATACTCCCTCCCATAGAAAGTTTGACAATGAAATGTTGCAGGCACTTTGCTCTGGGCTGAACAGTTGAAGTGGTCTGAAGCTAAAAACTGGGCCACTGCTACAAGATCACCGGTGGTCATTAATGGCATCATTGAGGGCTACAAAAAATCATTTGGAAATTTCCACTTCTACTGGCTTCTCCGATCAGGACACATGGTAAACACAATATCCAGTCTCTGTAACATAATTCAGTAACTTGGGTACAAATAAATGCCTTATAACTTTGATGTTGCTTGGGAAAAGCAGTAAAAATTGCTTTCACTGCCATGAAATTTTCCATCCCAATGTGGAAAATCTGAAACAGATGTGACTTTATATGGATCATGCTATTGGACGTGAGAGCTTATAGCATTGCTTGGTATATTTAACAGCAGACTAGTTGGTCATGTGTCACAGTGCATGAGTGGTCCAGCTGGCTGTCTGTCGCAGTAGCATATCACCAAACCACTAAGCTATGGAGTTGATGTTCAACCAGCATCCCCATAGTACAGGGATTTAAATGTTATTTCTGTATAATAAATGTTAATAATGCCAGGTGCACTGTAAGTCACTTTAATAAATTTTGAAGCTCGTAGTTATATAATATCATCTATGAAATGTTTTACTTGACTACTTGAATAACATTAATATAACTTCGATAAAGCAGGATTTAAGGTTTTCATGGTGGTGAGTCTGGAGATGGCTGTCTTCTGGGTTGTTGCGCCATCATCATTGCCCTGATGATGGAGGCAGCAAGGACCTCTGAAAGTTCAGTAAACTTCTACCAGACTATGCAGTGCAACAACCCAGAAGACAGCTACCTTATACCTGAGATGCTCAGTAACTCCTAATAACTCAATAAAACTTTAAATAACTAAATGCTTACATGATGTATTATTTTCTTTCAGGTTCCCACAGATAATCCAACTGGTGCACTCAAGTTACTCCAGGAAATTACACACTATAAGTAAACTTAGAGTGATATGAAACTTGAGTAAAGAATTCTAGGATTTGTTGGTCATCTGTCCAAGAATCTTTATGGAAGGTGTTCATAAAACAATTTAAAAATATATAACGAAGTATTTGGATTATAAACTTGCACATTCATGATTTGGTTCTTAGATATTCTTTCCAAATACTTAAGCCATTTGTAATTAATTATAATTGAATTTATATGTTATTTCCATAATACATATTGTAATCTTCAAATATATATTTATTATTCAAGTCTATACACAAACTTTTAAATTGTTGATGTTAAAATTTAAAATTAATATTAATATTCTGCGCCATTCATCGTTATCTCGATGTTACAATATTGCGCTTTATACTACTACATGTTTCAATGTCATAGCATCATCTTCAGGTTTTTTATCTTTAAAACTACTCTATATTTATTAATGCAAGCTTTTCATTGATTGTAGATTGTAGATTACTGTTGTGGGTGTTCCTTTGATCTTTGATGAAGTTTGTGTATAGACTTGAATAATAAATATATATTTGAATTTTAAACACAAACATGACGCATCTAAACTATAAACTTAATATTGTAATCTGTTTATAATATGTCATATTTCTAAATTGGCATGGACAATTGTTAGTTGCTTGAAATAAAATCTCTGTGGAACCACAGCAGAGTTCTCGGCCTGTGGTACCTGGTTTCAATCCCTGCAGGGATCAGTTACCCCAGTGGAGGCTTCAGTGGAGTTCATAGTCCTTTATGGCATGATGAAATAACCATTTCTTTTATTATATGCTCATTAAGTTATTGAAAAACTCTTTTTCACCATCATAGGTTATAGTTATTTAGCTCTGAACAGGATGATGTCTGAGATTTTCTACAATTTTTTAGGGATCCTAGATTTGATTATCAGTCTGCGTGCCATGAAATATAATTGAGGGTTTTCATAAATTTCCTTTTTCCCTCCAGACAACACTACATTGTCATTTTCTTTTGTATCCTTTCCAATGTATCTTCAAAGTATGCTCCAGTGTGTGTCTAGTGTGCCTGGTGTACCTACCAGGTATCTGTAGAAGCTGCAATATGTGAAAAGTTAACTTTTCTATTTTGAGTCTAGCCAAGTACTGGGTCAGAGGTGATGCTAAAGGGCAGGTGGTGACATGTTGAAGCTGGTTAGGCCTATCTTATTGCCAATAGTGGCGTGGAACATTGGCGGAATGACTGGTAGGGGGAAAAACCTCAGTGCCAATTCCAACATTCTCTCGGATGGGTGCAATATTTTTATGTAATGTTTTTTCATCTCTTTCTCAAGCTTACAAAATTTGCATTTTCCTCCCATTACATAAAATAGAATGTGTGGGACTAAGTGCGTTACTTGAGTGGCTCTGACTATATAGTATTGAATGAAAACTGTATGCGGCAGATAGCTGTAATTGCCTATTTTTTGAGACTTTTTTAGTTTTCCTGTAGTGACTGCGGAAACCCAGAAAAAACTTGGTCAGAATAGGCGGTCTATAGGCATGACGTTTGATCCTTGAACACCGAAATACATAATGGGAGTCCTAACCATGCAAAATCATATTATTCACAGCACAGAAGAGACTATCCATATGGCATTACTTTACATGTTTATGCCGGCCTGTACCGTCTCAATAGCTGTCATTTGATTCAAACATTTTGCAGAATGATAAGCATGTCAACAAATAAATCCTGACATAACCAACTTTTCATAAATGAATTGTTTTAGTTTACAGTCACTCATAATTTTTGTCTAAGCAAATAACAATACAATTTAAACCAATTTTTAAGAAGACGTCAATTGACTTCTATTTTAAAAATCTCTTCCGTTACAAATCTACCTCATTTATTAAAAAAATATATATACTCATTCATATTTGGCAGTTGTGTTATGATTATTTGATGCTGCCCTCTGTCAAATGGTACAGAAACATTGTTTTGACATGCGCATAGACGGTGCGTATAGGATATTGGTCGATCATGGCGGCTTGTGGGGTTTTCTGGTGCAATTAGAAATGTGATGCTTCTTCACGTTTTTCTTGGGAAGCTGACACTGTATTAGAATTGTTTTTATATTCTTTAATAGGACGTTCATTAAAGACTTTACCAATGCTGAAGCAATTGCAAATGGGCCTTCGTGCGTTTTTATTACTGGCATCAAGAGTTTGGACTTGTGTGTGTTTCTTGTTGAAGAAGCAGGTTAGAGCAGTAAGTAATTGATTCGCAGTTTGATTGGGACGCCGTAAAATATGTTACACAATACACTGATGGCCTGTTAAATTGAATTAACATTTGGGTATACTGATCTTGAACTGTACTTGATACATTCAGAGTTATCTCTAAACTTGTTAACAGCATCAATACCTGACTAAGAAAATAGTAGTCTGTGTGGTTTTTGGGTCAGTGTGTGTCGTCTTTTTCGTCGGAATTGCCAGATCGTCAGTTTCAAGTTACATTTTTTGTGGTTCTTGTCAAGAAAACAAAATATATATGCTGTAACCATGAATTGACAACACTTATTTTGAAGTTCAGACATACGTAAAATATTTCAGTTTGATATAGTAAAGTCACTTACTGTGGTATTTCTGACCTGTATCACTTGTCTAATGGCCATGTGCTGGCAAATATCAGAATTTATGGTGGCATTTTGTTTTAGGTCTTGAGACACTTGTGAGCAGAAATGTTAGTTTTGAATAACACTAGCAATGCTCAACATCATGGGAAGCCCCCCTCCTCCAAACAGTATTTTTAGATGAAAAGTGAAACAGGTGTGATTATGTAATATGCGCAGGAATCTCCACTATTGCCAGATTAATAAACATAGTTTCATTGTTATGGTAGAATGTTATGATTGTATTTTGCTGTTTCGTTAAGACACAATGATCAGTTACCTTGAATAAGTTGAGATTGTTTGTGTTTGGACTTGTAATTACCAGATTTCCTTGATTTTAAGACACTTTTTTCACATTTTAGTGTTTTTGAAATCGGTGCATCTTAAATGAAATGTGACTTAATGATTCACTGTCATTGTTGGTATTTTAGAAGATATTTCCAACAGCCACTAGGAAATGTTAGTTGAATAATGTTAATGGTTATTCAGGAATTTTTGTTTTAGTATTAATGTTTATTGATTTAATTTTATCTCAAGTTCATATTTCAGTAGTTCCTATTTTACTGTGTTCTGACAGGTACTTTTTTGTTTTGGTGTTATTTATTTTAGTAGATGCTTGACTTATTCAAGAAGACTGGATAGGTGCACTCCATACCTGAGTATACAGAGTTTTTACACGCATTTGCTGCACCATGGCATCTTGAATGTTTATTGATACATACAAACACAATTCATTTGGCAGTTGTTTGGATCAAGTGAATTAACAATTAATCTTATAGTGATTGCTCTGATAATGTACTTAAGTTGATAGTGATTACTACATATTCTTTTATTATTAGAATTTATTATTATTTTATTATTGTTGAGGCAAGACACTAATAATTCAATTTGTTGTATATTATTATTATTAATTTCAGAATCCTGTATTAAGTGGCATCTCATAAGTTTACAAGTCCACCTTGTTCTTACTGATTGTAGGAAATTAAAAGGTATGAGGTTGGGTTGGCATTCAATGGCATCATTTTCATACCAAATTTGATCAAAATCTGTACAGTGGTTCTCATATTGTAACATATGAGCAGACATGTTAGCTTTATATATGTTTATTTTGTTCACATTGTACAAAGAACATGCAGTAATATTACCAAGGATCTTGTAATGCTTTCATAATGGTCTTTACCTGTGGGGTTTACTATCTGTGTTATTGGTGTAAAGTTCCAATTTGCGTTTACATGATATTGTAATTGTGTTAGTTAACCATTATTTGCTGACTTTTATTCAGAATTAAATGCTCTTTCTTTTTAATTACAGGTGGTGCAGCATCAACCAGTAAAATATGAAATCTTTCCTTTGTCACCTCTTTCAAGACATAGGCTTAGTAAGTTTTGGTCTAAATTATTATATGTTGTGTATGAAATTCATATACTATTAATAATAGGCAGTGAAAGTATGAAAGCTTTGTAGCTGGGGTACATGTTTTTTTAATTTTCTGGGTGATTTTGTGACCCAGATAAGTTCCAGTATTATGTATGCCTTAGAGATAAGGCTTACATAATGAAATACAGTGAAGTAGCTGAAATTTGAGTAAGGAGAGTGATGATAGCTTTAGCATATGAGAGCAGAACCAGCTAGCCACAGACCAATAGCATATAGGACTCTATACATTAAAGTAAAATATAGTTATTTCTTATGGTATTATAGTTTTTAGCTTGCATATTTTTAGTTAGAATAATGCTTTCCAGGTACATAATCAGACAGAAAATGAGGTGCTGCTGTGTATGTTTGTTCATTATGTTGTCAAACCTGAGTGGTCAGTACTCTGGCTTCCTTTCTAGGAGGTCCCATGTTCATCTTTTGGCCTGGAGACTGGCTGTCCTGGATGAGATTTTTTGTTATTTTCCTTTTCCTTGAGGCATGTGCCAGGATATTTTCTTAAACCAAGCCATGACCCTAATGTTTAATTTGTGATTCATTATTAATCATCATGTCATTTATTGTTAGTTGTTTGAGCTTCTGACAGTCATTCAGTGAACCACAAACAAATGAAATAAGAATCATGTTTTTCAGGTCATTTTAGGCTTATATGTAACTACTCCTGTAAATTAGAGTAGTAATCCTGACATCTTATGAACCTAGCAGAGAGGCCATTATGCATCTTATATTGATATATGAATATTATCAGATTTGTTCTTGGTCATATCTAGTTCATTATCACCTGAAGATAATGATTGATGCAGATACTTTCTTGTGATGATTTTTAGGCATTTTTTGAAGAAGAAAATGACATTATGAAATGCTTTATGAGGAAGTTACATATAAATTATCCATATGCCTGTGACTGGGGTTAGTGAATGGATTTGTGTAAACTTATGTTTTGGGAAATCTTACTAAAACAGGAAAACAGAATAGTTCTTTCAGACATTTCTGCCAATTGCAACAGCAGTTTGTGTATCAAAATACATTTTTATTTAAGTACATATATTTTCCACCAGATTACAAAAGATGGCACAAAATTTGTAGAATTAGATATATTTTTACAGTGAACCATTATTTAAAAATTTGATGTTGCTCTAGTACAGGGGTTCTCAGCCTTTTTCGCTGGCATACCACTAATTCTAATTTAACACATTAAATGTACCATTAACCAGATGCATTCAGGGAAAACTTATTTATGTTTATATTATCTTTTGATTTTCTTACTTAGTCCGCGTACCACTCAACATTGGCTCGCATACCACCAGTGGTATAGTTTCAAACTGCCTGTTCAATGAAGTATCCTGGCTTACTGCATGTTTCTGAATACTATGTCTTTATTTTCATCCTTGTTAATTTCCCATAGCTTTTACTTCCATCTGCATCTAGAGTGTATGTTTTTAGTTTCTTGTTTTTAATATTTCTAAAAAGGAGTAGTGGATTTAATTCTGTTTTTCTTCCCCAGGTATAGTGAAGCGTAAGGTGTTGGTTTTAGATTTGGACGAGACATTGATCCACTCACATCATGATGGCGTGGTGCGACAAACAGTGAAGCCAGGGACACCACCCGACTTTGTTCTGAAAGTCACGATAGACAGGCATCCAGTCAGATTCTTTGTGCACAAACGACCACATGTGGATTTCTTCCTGGATATTGTAAGAGCAAGTGATTTTTGTGCTGTTGCTGTAGTAATGTTAGTGGGAAATCATTGAGAATTGGAGCGGTAGTAGTGATTTTACTTACCACAAAATAGTTCCAACATAGTTTTGGGAATTGAGATTAGTTTTATCCTGTGGACCTAACTGATTAGGTTGTATAGTTTTGCCTGATAATAGAAGCAGAGTCAGCTTCCAAAAGTTGTGAAATGTACTAATAGATGAAGGAAAATGTCCAAAAATATGCATCAGTCTATTGAAAGTTGTTTGCACTTTCCTTTGAGCTCACAAAATTCAATAGAAAGTTCCAGGAGGAACTTGGGTGATTACTTCCCTTTAAATGCTTCAATCCATATAGAGAAAAATTATAAATCAGATATCTTACAAGTACTTGCATATTTTTTTAGGTGTCACAGTGGTATGAGTTGGTCGTGTTTACGGCAAGCATGGAGATTTATGGTGCAGCTGTAGCAGACAAACTTGACAACAATCGTGGAATTTTGAGGAGACGCTACTATAGGCAACATTGCACCCCAGACTTGGGCAGTTATACCAAGGACTTGTCAGCAATTTGTGGCGATCTTACTAGTATATTTATTCTGGATAATTCACCAGGGGCATACAGAGCTTATCCAGGTAAGTTGATACTTGATATTTTACATTATTATGTGTTCTTTGTATGAAGTGCACAAAATGAATGGATATAGAGCTGACCTTGTCTGTCTCTCCATGTGATCCAACTCAGGAAGTGCTGAATGGATTTTGGTTGAATTTGGTCCAAATATAATTGGAGTCTACCCTAAAACATAATTTTCAGTTTCCTACAGTTGGTAGGTTTGAGGTTGGATAGACACCAGTGCTGCTTACATTAGGATCATTTGATGATGTACGGAAATGAATTTTTTAAAACATGTGATTTTTATGTCAAACAACATGGCAGCAGCATCAATGGAAGACATTGGCAAGCGGGATTTAATCCCATGACCACATGCATGTCTTCCGGTATGCTGCTACAGAGTTTTCTTGCATTGTTTTATACTGGCACTGATTTACAGTACTTAAAAATATGTTAAGAATGCACGAAACTAAACTAAACTAAAGCTTTCAAAGTTAAGATAACTGATGTCATGTTTGAGCTTGAGAATACTTTTTCCTTAAAATTTCCAGATTAAGAGACATTCATAGGCTACACATTGTATTTATTGATAAGATTACAATAGAAAGTCTAGGCCATTTGAATCCACGCTGTTCTCTGAACAGTCACTTTTTGATAAACAGATGAATTGGTAGAGAAGGAATAAACAATGTTTAAAATATATCTTTGTGCATTTTGGTGAAAACTAGGAAGCAATTTGATCATTCATATATTAATAATAATAGGAATCGATGGAGCAGCTGGCTCAGGATAGGGTCCAGTGGTTGGCTTTTTTTGAACCTCCAGGTTTGATCAAGAAAGTGGGCTATTCTCTGACAAACTGAGTTTACAGTCAACTTTTAAAAAAATATCCTGTACCATAGAGTGAGTGATAGATAATAAAAAGATAAGTGGGTAAGAGGCAATGAATGAATCTTTAACTGAAGAGACACGCTTATGTTTCTACAACACCTGCAGTCTGTTGCTTAATCATGTGAACAGTACTGATGGAAGTACTTCCATCACATAGTCTATGTATGGTATGGTATGTATTGTTACATTCAGAATTTGCAAAAAATGCATGTGGGAACTGTGTAATGTAGTGCTGAATAAACCTTTATGGTCTAGTGAGATTATTGATTAAAGCCATCAGTTATAACTTTATGCATACAAATTTATCTTTGCTCTCAACCCTGTATGGTTTGCCCTTCATCAGGAGTATTTGTATATTTCAATATTTATATGATGAAATTTTCATTTACAAAATTTTTAAAAAGTTCATTACTGTATTAAAGTTGTTTTCCTGTGCTGTAATTGTTATTTTACAGTATTTAATAATTCCATACTTATGTTTATAATATTTTAATTAATTAAGGTACAAAAGAACCTGCTTTTTCTAATGGTCTCATTCTTGTCTTTAGACAATGCCATCCCTATCAAGTCATGGTTCAGTGATCCAATGGATACAGCACTGCTGAATCTTTTGCCAGTGTTAGATGCATTGCGTTTTACCCAAGATGTTCGCAGTGTTTTAAGTCGAAATCTTCATCTGCATCGACTCTGGTAGCAGTGCTTGGCACCACGGGTAAGTAGATGTTTACATTAACTCATTGATTTTGAAATTTAAATGTGTTATGCCTATAATCTGTATTGAAAAGTTTAAATGGTCTAGAACTTTAGGTATTACTCTACTCTGTTTATAAATGTATAGGATGCTTGTTTCATCATAAAGTTATTTTTAATTATTTTAAACATTTACTTTGCATTTCCAAGTTACTGATCATTTAATTTCATTTAGTGTTGTTGTTTGTTTTGGAAAAGTACATTTCCTTTTCACACTGATCATGGCTGTAATAGTATGTCTGTCTAAAATATGCAATACATTGTAGCTGAATTTGGAATTTCCAGAAATCTTGGCTGCATTAAAATTTGAATGAATGTAATCTGTAGTGAGCCTAAAACACTTCCAATTCACACTGCTGTTCATTCTCATCAACATTTAATTTTGTTTTATAATATGTTGTAAGGGTATAGGCGTGTGCATTACATGTGACACCCATCTCATCCTCCTCAGTTTGGTGACGTACAAATTTTGGAGTTGCTCATTATGCAGTTTTCTTGTCATTTTATAAGGTAAAAACCTAGATGTCATGAAGAACTACACAGAAGTTCCCTTAAATGCCACTAAAGACATGAAGCCACTTGCCCAATCACTTACCTGTCTATTCTCTGGAATTTTAACTGAGTTAAATAGTACACAATATCCTACTCTTTGGACCATCTCTTGAGGTTGTCATGATGCGAGAACAAAATAGTGCATTAATAATTATACATTACTTTTTCATTACAGGTTCATATAGTGTGGACACAACTTCAGCCAATACTGTAGTTGGTCATTTGTTAGCTCTGCCCCTCACCCTAACTTCCGAGTTATTGTGTACAGAATTGAGTGAAACAAAATGTGTTATACAGAACATCATGACAAGAACAGTTGACAGCCAGGTGCATTGGGATAAGTAAAAATTAGTTTAGGTTTATTGTGTCAGAAAAACAAGTCAAGAGCAGGAAGAGGATCCTAAAGGAAGAGATTTACCCTGATATTAGAAAAACTATGGTACGAATGTTTGACGAGTGGATGCTGATGGTGAATATCTTGTTTTGAATCCACCATTCCTTCCTCGAACAGTATAATGTTTATTAACTTAAGGACAGATTCTCAGTTTCTAATCATATTGACAAATGAGGAGGACTGTTGACAGGCACAAAGTAGCCCTATTACACTTGGCACATGTTATGTTAGAATTCAAGTATTCAGATTTCAGTTATGAAGTAACTAATTATTGTTTTCTGTATCAGAAAACATAGTTACATTAGGACTGGTTACAACACAAGTCTCAGCAGTTTTTTTATTTACTTGTTAATAAAACTTAATATATAGTAAAACTGCAGTCTTATCCTTTTGCACTCAGTGATGTGTACTGGTATAACAATGTATTTATGAGAATTTACTGGGGTGTCAGTTAGGTTTAACACTCATTGTTTGGTGAGAAATTTCATATTAAAGAGTGTGTAATAATATGAATTGGAATTCTCCAAAGGCTACATATTTAAATTTAACCACTTAAGTGTAATTACGACTTTTCATGGATTAGATGTGTTTTGTACACAATGCATTAGTTCATGTGTTACCATTAATTTAATTTGGGAAAAGATAAGAGGACTTTTTGATAGTGTGGTATCTGTTTGTTTGCACTGCATTACGAATACCTGAAACAGTTAAGATTTACTGAATCAGAATTTTAACAAGGTATTAGTTAAGTTTGAGGTATTATTTGGCACCCCAGTGAATCACTATTGTAAATACACTTCAACAGGATAATGATAGTAAAATTAATTGTTGTCTTTTGGGGAAAGAAGAAAACATTTTAGTTCAGTTAGTAATAGATAATCAATTTTCTGAGTACAAGTAAACTAATTGTGATGTTCATAATGGTAACAAAATTAAAAAAGTAAAGTCCTGTAAATTTATATGTGTTGTGTTTCTTTTTAATATTATGTGCATGTACAGAATTTTTCTGTATAATATTACTTGTAAAGTAAAATGAAAGTTAACCAGAAACCAACACATAAAATGCTAGTCTTCTTTGACTTTTATGTTTGGTTTATCATTGAATACAGATTTTATTAAGAGAAGAGAAATTATGGCATTGCACTGTATGGAGGATCTTGTAACACTTAGCAGGGTTGGGATGTCATTTTGAACCAAGTTGTGATTTTCATTATTTGATCTCTACATTTTATTTTATTTTATTGAGTTATGTGGCATCCACAACTTGACTGTAGTGTGGTACAAGACCCCAAGTGCTGCTTTAGTGAGAAGTATAATTTAATTTGGTGTTATTCTCTATTCTAAGGCACTAATGTATTTGTTTTTTAAAGAAAGTTTCCTGTCTTATAAAAGTGATAATTTGTACAGCAGTGAGCTGTTGTAAGGATAACATGCTTCCGGAGTTACAGGATTGAAAACATCCCCATATACAAATGTGGTGATTATATGTTGTTAATAATTTTGTGTGTTCATACAGATTTTAGAGGCCAACTGCTAAAGCAGGGTTGCAGTACCACAAATCCATGTCTATTTGCCACAAATCATTGATCAAGTCTTTTACTTTTAGACATAAAAATCATGTTTCATAATAACTGTGTAGCGAGAAAGGGAATGTTAAGATGATATTCACGCTGTACATATTTGGACTAGCTTTGTTGTGGTAATTGTTTGACAAATGTACAGATGTATTTCATATTGTCTCATCTTCATTTCAACTAGAACTAACAAATTATACAATGTTGACTGTGTTCTTTTCATTTGTGTATCATGTTTAATATAATAATTGTTGTGATGCACTGGAAAGACAGAATGAAAAACAAAATGACACCACAGTACAAATTTATAAAGCAGAATTTTTGAAGGTGTTGTTTCTTCATTTCCAAAGTTATAAGTGGGAAAACAAAGCAGATGATTTCAAGTGTCTGTATTCTTCATTAAAGAATACATTAATTTCATGTCCACATATAATCACATTAAATGCACACATAACAGTCATGTCTTCTTTTTGACTGGCATCAGTTAAGATGCAGAAACACTAATTACTGTCATGCCATTCCTGAAATTTAAGTATTCTTAGTGGCTGATACTATGGAAGCCATTAAAAGCACTGCACTGGATTTCAGTGTTTGGTACTTGTTTTGCTTCTATTCCCTGATCATTTCAAGGCTGCTGTCACTACCAGTATTAATGACAACCTCATTTTCACTGGAGCCCGAGCCACTTGTACACACCTCCATGTCACCTTCTTTTTGTCCTTGTTCTCCTTCATCACCATCAGTTGCCTGGGGAGATGATGACAGCTGCCATGCAGGGATGGAAGGAGGGACCAGTGGATTGCTAGAAGTAGCGGCTGGGAATTGGTGCCTGCAATAAGAAAATATTCAATCACTCAGTGTTCTGTCCTTTAGTTATTTTTCTTTTAAATTAATTCATATGACACTTTGTTAGTATTCAATGCATGCTGTTATGGTGTTTGCTTATAATCTGTTAACATAACACATCACAAATATTTTGATATAGCTTTTGCCTGCTTACAGTTCAGACTTCCAAGAACACTATTTGATTTTGTTTTCCTACAGTTTACAGTAGTGTCTTTAGGTCTTGCGTATCTTCCTGTATTTAAATGTGTTTGACTCTACAAAATATTCATAGAAAGTGGCCCATAATAGACCCTTTCTTATATGGTTGCATTAGTATCATTTAAAAAATAATGGTTTTATGCAGAAGACAAGAATTAATCTGGATTTATTCATGTGCATGGATTAATAATTATATGAGGTCTGATAAAGCACTGCCAAGGATGCCACATACCAGGATATGTAACTTAACAAGTTTCAATTGCTACTTAATATCATTTGTCTTCAGTGTCTTTTGAAACAGTATGTTGTTCCTTTGTCAAAAAATGGTGACACTTGTTCAGGACATAATTTTACATGAGCTGAAGGAGTATTTTATCAACGACTGCCACTGTGAAAGCTTCATATTATATATCAGTATTTCTCTACTCACCTTGTTTTGTTCTTAATGTCAAAGGTTTAATTCATGTATTTACTCACCTCATATTGTAGAAAATGACTAGGAGATAGAACTAAAGAAATTGTTAATGCCAATAGATTCATTAGTATACTCGATATCTTGAGAAGAATTAAGACAAACTGCTCCATAGGGTTATGTGTATTTTCATTAGACTTAAGATAAACTGTCAACATTTATCTCACCCACCATGCAAAGTCACTAATTAGTCATTAACCTGCTAAGTAGAAGTCCTTTGACTGTTGCTATTTCTCCTTTCAACTCCTGGATTTGTTTAGACATGGAAGCGCTCTGTTCAGGCTGCTGTTGCTGTTGATCACAGATTCTCTCGAGGTTTACATGAACCTTATTTAGTCCTTCATTCATTTCTGATATTGAATCTTCAATAGACTTCTTTTTCTCTTTTACACCAAATAAGAATGGTTCTACAAATTTCTGAAAGCATATACAATCACATAACTGCTTTCATTCAAAGAACTTAACAGTTCTCATTGCCTTTATAATACTAATAAAAATGTGAAAAATACACCAATGTAAACTCTGGCACTGTACCATCTCTACCTTTTCAAAATGGCATATCTGTATATGGCATGAACAGCATACCTTGTAAAACCAATATATTCCATATGCAATGCCTCCTATGACCGCAATTGTGTTTAATGTGTCTCGAAACTTGGACCAAACAGACTGATGGTGCAACACATAAGGTGGAGGAAGAGATGTCACAGGTACAGGTGTATGTTGAAGCACTGTCTGTAACTGCTGAAAGAAGGATGTTACATCATTTACAGTTTATCAATTTTGATGCAGGAAGGACTTGCACAAAGCCAATGCTGTTCTGTAATTACGCTTTGCTAGGTTTACAGAATGTGTCTTCCGATTTGTGTCATGAATTTAGAAGGAACCTTACAACAATTGAAGGATAGACATGAAAATACATACATTACTGCTTTGCCTTCCAACACAGCCTGCACGTTCACAAGCAATTTGTACTTCTTCATCTGTGAGCCCCTTTTTCTTCAAAAATGCCTGCTGATGTGTCAAAGAACTTTTCTGGACATTGGGATTTTGTAAAAATTTCACAGCTGTTCCTATCTGCAATTAAATTAATTTGATTCAATTGTTATTACATGAACTTGTTAATGTTATTCTGGCCTATCCAGAATCAAAACATGATATGATATACCATTAAAGAGCACAAGGATTGTCAGTATGAAATATATTACCTAAGTACTTGGCCAGAATGTAAAAGGGAAATGGGGTTTTTCTGAAGTATATTCATGGTCAGTGGGAAAAGGATTAAATTTGCTGCAAGTTCAAACCTAAAGTTATTCACGCCAAGAAGGTTAAGGAAGCCTGGTAGTGTCATTCCAAAAATAACATCGGCAGTCGAAGATGATTAGTTGTTAACTCTGCGCCCTCAACCCCCAAAATATACATTATGTTGACCACAGCACCCCATAGCCCATGAAGTAAATTACTTCTGGATACCAATATTCCATTAAATAATAAATAATTTAGCGTACAAGGTCTTCTCTTGGCTTAGGTAACTGTTTCTCTGCATTTCCAGAAGTGTCATTTTCAGCCATGATTATTCTTGAAAACTCGATCACAATTTCTTAGAAGTACTACAACCATTAACTGGGAGCATTTAATACTTCTCATTCTTCTGCTTTTATTGTGCCCTATACTGAGCATGTGTACCAAATGTATGGTTATCTATGACCATAGATAATATGATCGATATATGGCAAGTATCTATATCTCTAGTCATATGACCATAATTTAACATTACTGCATGTGATATAGATAGTATAACTCAAAATAAAGCAACATTATTTTTAAGAGGTGAGTTGTACTTTATATATATTTTTAAAATAAACCGCGTAATAAATGGGATTTAACACTCTCTGGAAATTATCGAAAACGAGAGAAGCCATGTTTGTGGGTGGAGGCGGATAATGCTGTTATGCCGGATGTCAGATTCAAACAGCTGTGTATATTTGTGTCCTGACTTTTTTCGTAATTAATATTAATAGGAAGAAGGTGAAGGTATTATGTAACTTCGTAGATATAAGTTTTTACAGACCGCAAAAAGTGTATGGTATTATTTAATAAATTCGTATTCTTCCATTAGCCAAGGAATTCATCCTCATAATTATCATTTGTATTGGGCAACATAGAAAAATTTCAAACAAACTCTTGTAGCCTCAATACAAGATACAGACATAAACTTCATATGCCAAACACTAAACTTAGTAAATATAAAAAAAGCAGTTTACTGTACTGGAATTTATTGACTAGCTGAGTACCAGTTAGATTTTCAAGTAGAGATCTGCTGTGTGGAATTTGTATTTTTTTCTGAATTTTTGCAGACAGTAACACGAGAGACAACTAACCCATCATCATGATTGGTGGGCTATTTGTGTATAATCATAAGGGAGAAGTTTTAATATCAAGGGTATATCGAGATGACATTGGTCGAAATGCTGTTGATGCATTTCGTGTAAATGTTATTCATGCTCGTCAGCAAGTTCGCTCTCCTGTCACAAACATTGCAAGAACTTCATTTTTCCATATCAAGGTACGTTATTTCACTGTGCCTTATTTGTATTAGATCCTTAGCCATTAACAGAATTAATGAATATTATGTTCTACAATTTCAGTATAATTCTTGCTTGTGATTGGGGGTGGGCATGTCTACTCATTCATGTCCACTTCTGAAGCCACTTAATGCATTTCTCTTCAGAAATTCAATTTGATATGAGAATTTATGTGGAAGTTCGACTGGGTTCAGGTTGATGTGTTTACCACACAACTAATTCAATTCTTTATTCTTAAAATTATTTGTTGTCAGGACTTTTTTCATCGTCTGTTTTTTAAAATTCACGACGTTTCGGAGGCTGCTTCTGTCTCCGTCTTCAGGTGAGAGATACCGACTGGACCTCCAGTGACAGTGACTAGCTCTTTCTAAGGGACCCAACATACCAAAGTGGCTTGAATAGATTGTCACTAATTACAGGGAGATTTAGTTCAGTATGGTTTTATTTACTACTGTTGGTTGTCAACGAACTGCCAGAATGCACATTGATAAAATACGTTAATTAATTATAATGCCACCGATACAATAAAAGCGGTGGAAAAATACATTGTTTATGAGATGTGTCATAGGTTTATAGTGTTACAAGATTTGATGCTTCTTGCCTGCTTTCAGCGAGCAAACATTTGGCTGGCTGCTGTGACAAAACAAAATGTGAATGCTGCAATGGTGTTCGAATTTCTTCTGAAAATTATTGATGTCATGCAGTCATATTTTGGGAAGATTTCTGAGGAGAATATTAAGAATAATTTTGTTCTTATATATGAACTTCTTGATGGTAAGTTATGATTTTGAAAGTTCTTTAGAATATGGACAACTTTTGTGTCTTGCATATAAGGCTGCAGCTGTATAAGACCTGTCATGTATGAGAGCATAGATTCTGTGCTTTTGATAAAACAAGAAGACTGAATTTACTGTTTGGTTACAAAACATGGGTAACCTGGTGTTTGGAGCAATTGAAAAGTGGTCACAAGAAGCCCAGCTAAAATGCCTTGCTTCACAGTTACTGGACAATATGGGTTGTCAACAGAACAGACTGTGCATTGTTATTACTACTGTATCACAAAACATAATTTAACATTTTTGCATAAAACATGGTTATAGGCCTACTTCCAACACACAAACAACAATATAGTGTATAAATATAATAAACTGCAGTTCATATTGTTAGTACTGCATCAGTACAAAACCATTATGCAGAATTGGTATAAAATTGTAAAATTTACTTATAGAGTATTCAAACAAACACTGATAATAACATTATTAGTGAAGGAATATTCCCATAGATATATGCTACTTATACGAGCCATGCCTCGACCAATGTTGTTTCAATCCCAGCTCTTCATTGCCGACTACTCACTGTCTATCCTACCCATCTCATTTTTATCACTACTTCAGAACATTTGATAAGTGATTTATGCAGTAGTGGCACAAAATATATGTTTTTGAAAGACTACTGCAAAAATACTTCTGTAAGAATATTAAATGCAGTTTGGTCCAGATGTGTTATGAATTTTTTCATTGTACTTGTGTTTGAATTTGTTTGGGAACAGAAATCTTGGACTTTGGATATCCTCAGAATTCTGATACAGGAGTTTTGAAGACATTTATTACACAACAGGGTATTAAATCCCAGACAAAAGAGGAACAAGCTCAAATCACATCTCAAGTTACTGGACAAATTGGCTGGCGGCGGGAAGGAATTAAGTATAGGCGTAATGAACTTTTTCTTGATGTGTTGGAATATGTCAATCTTCTTATGTCTCCCCAAGGTAAGACATGTTTAGGTTTATGATAGTAGGTCTGGATTTGTGATTAAAAATTCGCCTTCAAATGTAAATAGTAGCATAAAAAGATATTTTCTGTGATGGTAAATAAGTATATGGCAGTTATCCTGCCATGTGTCTATCTTTCCTAATAACGTTTGCACCAATTAACAGCTTTTCATGAAACTTGGTATGATTGTCACATTTTTATATGACTACCCAACTTTGTATATTTCAGAGCAAGGAGCAGGTTAAAAGAAAGTTTATTGTAATTTTGTATAAGTATGTTGCAATATAAATCCAAGTATTATTTTTGTTTCTTCAAAGAAACTTGCAAGTAATGATTTTCAATATTATTCTAGGCCAAGTTCTGTCAGCACATGTGGCTGGGAAGGTTGTAATGAAGTCTTACCTCTCTGGAATGCCAGAATGCAAATTTGGCATTAATGACAAAATTGTAATGGAAGCGAAAGGAAAGGGTCTGAGTGGGGGCAGTGATGACCCAGCTCGATCTGGAAAACCAGTTGTAGTGATTGACGACTGCCAATTCCATCAATGTGTGAAGTTGTCCAAGTTTGAAACTGAACACTCCATTAGTTTTATCCCACCTGATGGAGAGTTTGAACTAATGAGGTATTTAGTGTTATTTTCTTTTTATGCTTATCCGCAGTTTGAAGTCTTAGCCTTCATAATTCTCTGACAAAATAACAATTTGATAATGCGGTCGAATCAGAGTGAAGTCTTATTGGATGTCCTTCTATTTTGGCCTCTGCTTTTAACATGTGCTGATAATGTTGTGTCAATTTAAAATTGTACTCTGACCTTGCACAGCGTTTATTTTAATGTTTTTCCTATTGATACTGTTTATCCAGATTTTTGGATTACAGCCTTTCTATTTGAAAGGATATTGGCAAGCATTACCTCATGTATTCTTGTTGGGATCAGCTAGGATCATTGCTGCTCATTAGCTTTGAAATCAGATGTTCTCAATTTTGAGGAATTGTGAGGGTGACAATAGGAAAATAGTATTTTTGTGAATATTTTTTTTGCAACATATAAACAATTTTCATTCTCAGGTACCGAACAACTAAAGACATCTCTTTGCCTTTCCGTGTTATTCCATTGGTTCGTGAAGTTGGCCGCACTAAAATGGAAGTGAAGGTTGTTTTGAAGTCAAATTTTAAACCATCATTGCTGGGACAGAAGATTGAAGTGAAGATTCCAACACCTCTGAACACATCAGGTGTTCAGTTGATTTGCCTGAAGGGAAAGGCAAAGTATAAAGCATCAGAAAATGCTATTGTCTGGAAGTGAGTAAATATATTATTTTGTCTGTACAAATAGGAGCTTTATTATTGGAGCATTTATTACAGTATTTATTTCAATACTGATGCCCCTGACAAAGAAATGACCATTTTGGTGAGACTAAAATGTTATAAAGGAAGTTGTTATTAATATTAAATCCTTTGCACATATATAACATATTACGTGTACGTTTGTTATGTTGATTTTGTCTTGAGAACTGTAATTTTTCATTAACATTTTGCTTTTAGAAAAACGGACAGTGGTATAAAATACAAATACTATATATTTAAATAGATACTGCATACACAGTATATTTCTGCATCATTTTTCTCTTCTGGTAATAATTTATTCATTGATATTCAGTAGCAGCACAACCTTCTTTAGCCTTGGCCTTACAGGTGGTATTAACCTTTACAGCTAAAGGAAAGATTGAAAATTCTGCCATATCATTTGTTCTAAGAGTGTTGTAAAAAATGGCTAATTTCACACTTCTCTGTTGTTGTAAATACTTTGTTGTAGTAATTGTAATTACCTTCACTAAATGGAATCCTTGAGAAGCTGTTGGTTTATGGAACTGTGTGAATCTGTACCCCATAAATTTAACCTGGTATTACAATTCCCTCGTCCTCAGATTTGTTTCGCCTTGACTTAATTTAAGCTTAAGAATGGTAAGCACATGTTTAAATTAGTACTTGGGAGCTAATTTTTACAGTAGAATAATTCTTTATATGTAGAACTATACAGAACTAGAACTTGCTGCATGTTCCGACATTCGGATGCTGTGTATATTTGATAGATTGTGTAACCTGCAGTAATGGTTTACATTATGAGTATTTATCTTCCAGGATCAAGAGAATGGCTGGTATGAAAGAAACTCAGTTGTCTGCTGAGATAGAACTTCTTGAAACTGATACCAAAAAGAAATGGACTCGTCCTCCGATTTCAATGAATTTTGAGGTAGGGTGACTTTATGGCGGTCGTTATCTAGAAGGTGTGATAGCAGTGAGGCCCTGATGTTTTGTTAGATAAACATTAGAATGTATATTGTCATTCAAGGATACTGTATGCTGATTAGAAAGGAGGTTCATTTTATAAAAGAATTACATATTTCATAATTTTCCTATATCAGGTGTTCTTCAAAACAATATATTGGAATATCAGGTGTGATCATTGGTACTATTTGCCAATATTTTGACCAATATTGAAATAGAGTTGTTACTGTGTATCAAATGACCTTTATATTTCAAATTGTCACCAACAGATGCCATAACACCCTTTTTCATTTATCATTAATAGATGTCGTTACCATAAGGTAGAACAGGAAAAGTCCAAATATGAATGCGCTGGAAATGTTATTTTTATGTTCTGCTCAATTTAAATATATGTATATCATTCTCGGAGAGATATATATACTAATATAATATTTGAGTTTTTAGAAAGGGTTTCTTCTAATCCCATTGTACCTTTATATTTGCAATACTTTATAGTTTGTGAGGAAGGTATATGACTTTGTCTTGATTTACTTTTTCAGGTACCTTTTGCTCCTTCTGGATTTAAGGTTCGGTACCTGAAGGTGTTTGAACCAAAGTTGAATTATTCAGATCATGATGTTATTAAATGGGTAAGATATATTGGTCGCAGTGGGTTATATGAGACACGTTGTTAATTATAGAGGCACTGATATAATTAAGGCATAGATCTGAGCAGGAGGTGTAAGAAATGCTGTGAGTAATTATGTAAGCATTGCTATTAACATTTCCAGGTGAATTGTAGAGAAGCATTGATATGAAATGTTCTATGAAGGTATTCAGTGATTAAATGTAAATCCTTTCTTTTTATTTGGATGTATACAAGTCTATATTACTGTGGCTTTGATGTGAGTTATTGTTGATATAATCAAATGAAATGTGTCTTATTGTTAATAAGGAGTTACACATACACGTATCTAAGTGATGAATGTAGCATACTTTGTCAAATATATAATGATGTGTTTAATTGTCTGGAATTTCTGCTGTTTGTTGGTGCCTCAGCTGATTTCAGTGGGCTAAATGTACCCTATGTGTGTTCATACGTATGTACATACACATATACATGCATAATATGTACAGAGTATGTCATATGTATTAAAATGTGATTACAGAAGTGTTGCTAATGTAACAGGAGACAAAAGCCTTGAAAACAATTAATTTACTTTATTATTTTAGTACTACTGACTGTTGATTTTGCATTAATAACAATGAAAAGTTTTAGTGCTGATTAGAATGAGCACAGCAATATTTCATAAAATTGTGTAAGAAACTTGAAGGTTGCTGGTTAATTTTTAAATCTTAGGAATCAGGTATATACGTTTGTTGGAAATATTGTGTATGTAGAATGAAATGCAGTTGTGGATTACAGTTATTGAGTGCTGATGGTTTGTGTGTTTAGCACTGAACATTTTATTTCCAATGGCAAGTTTGAATGTGGAGATGTCTCCTCTTAAACATGTGTGATACTGGATCATAACATGTCAAACTGTAATACTTAAAACATATCTGAAGATTTAGAATATCTCTACGCCTTCCTTTCCACTGTATTTGGGGGGATTGACATATTTTGGGGCACAGTAAAATGTTACTAGTTTTTATATGTATTTTTGACCTGGGTTTCAAAAATGTGTAGTCCATATTTTGTGTTTATTTTCAGCAATCAGTGCTTGCATGTAGCATGTTTTTCAGATCAAGATTTTTTTATGATGTATAATTATAATATATGCACTTGAGATTGAGGTTACCACAATTGTGAAGGGATTGACTATCATCTTGAAGGCTGTGATGCTTTGTAGTATAGCAATTGATTACTGATAGTTTTGTGTCTGACTTCAGGTTGGAAGTGAAGATGCAACTGGTAAGTTCCTTCAAATAACTGGTATGAACCTGCAAAATTGTAGTGTCACAACCCAGAAATCTGTAATTGTGTATATGCATGTATTACTTGGGTGGTGTAGTAAATGCGAGGAGTCTGGATAGTTCAGTCAATATAGTGACTGACTGTGAACTAGACGTCGTGGTTGATCTCTGACAGGGTCAGAGAATTTTTCCCTTAGCCTCAGCTTCCAGGTTTGGGTGTATGTATCCAGGAAGTCATAGCCGGGGCCTGATGCTGACCGCTTGCCCCTAACTAGCCTTAAGGTTAAGAATGAATAGGATCTAAACCCCCATGTGCCTACATAGAGCATAGAAGGACACCTTTAGTTCACAGCAAAATTGACGCTGAACTTAAAACTAAGAGACTTTTTTTGAAACTTTTTGTGTTAATTCTGCTATTTAAGGTTTGAGATGAAGTGAAAGGAACACTTTTGTTTGAATTTGCCCGCCACAAAAGCTGTCTGCTTAACCCATTTAACGCATAGTGTTTTTCTATTTAGTATGTGTATCGACTGTTACGTCAAGAATTTTGATTCGTGTAGTCAGTAATATACGTATTAATTTTAATTGCTGGAATGGAGTGTGGCATCAGATTCCGTGAATCGGGGCTAATGGGATTTTATTAGCCTAGAATGAAATATGTCTTCCATTATACAGGCATGACAACTGAAGTGTTTAAATTATGGCTTCGTTTTAGGATACCATAAATTGTCGAGGTGTTGAGATATTAAATAAAGTAGATCTATTTCATTTAGTAAAATATAATAACAATATTAAGTAAGCCGCATGCTGGAATTTAGTTGTGAGAAGATAAATTTAATGCACGGTTTAAATTCTGCAAAGTTGGGTTCTCTTACTGGTGCATTATGGGAAGTAACGCAGTGAATTTCTGTAGGCTAGTGTGTTTGTCGTGATGGAGTTTATTGATACTTCGTAAGTAAATACGATATTTTAATTGATGTAATATTAGGTACTGTGTATTCTGGTCATGTGTTTATTCTGTGTGTAATATCTAATTTTAAAAAAATCCATTGATTTCAACGAGTTGTTTCGATCTTGTGTCGTCAGCAGGCAGCAGGCAATGTCATTCTTTTATCAAGATTGGTAAATGTATTTGAAACATTATTACTTGCTGAAGTAGAATGTACGTAACATGTCTGAAAGTACATACATCGTGCTTAGTTAATATATGTGGACGTATAAGTGTAACAAATAAGCAGCCACAGGTGTGTCGTCGAATACTTCGTGAACGTCAGAAGTGTGCCACTCCTCCTTCTCGAGCTCCATGTCGGAGGGAGAACATTTTTACTGGTGCATTTCTTACATTTCTTTCGATTGTACTTAATTATTTTTTGCGAATTCAAGAATTGTACGATTTTATATAGCGTTGTTAATAACTTAATATTTTTATGAACCTTTTCCCAACGAATTTTAGGTACCGAAATTGTTACATGTAAAAATTTACAGACCCATTTTTAAATCGAAACACGTTATTTATCATGTTACAGAGTTGAAAATAATTATGGAGCTGAAAGTATAGATCCTCACTGTTAATTAATTATCCTAATTTTATTAAGTAAGTTTTCTTAAATAAATGCAAATGTAGAACGTCACAGGGTGGGGTAGGATATTTCACAATGTAGCAAGTATTCAGCAATAAAATAGCGTGTCACCGATAGGCGTCAGCTGTGTTTGCATTCTAGAGAGAGAGAGTGTGAGTGGTGAACCTAAATGTTCATTGTTTTATTATGTAATTGCGGAGATAGTTGTTTGGGGGGTAGGAGAAAACCCTCCTCACTATTTTTGTTAAATATAGGCGTGTTAGCATATGCAGCGTTTATTTAATTGTTTCAAATTAATTATTTCGAATTGTGTGCCATAAGAAATTCTGTAATCTTTGTTGTAAGAAGGTAGAATTTTAATTTAGTCATACTTCATCGTTTTATCTTATGCGGAAGTGAAAGTTATTTCTTGTTGCAGTTCGATTTAGGATTGTTTAAAAATGCAAGAAACTTCTACCAAAGGCACATATGTTTGTGTTTATGATTTTTGGTGTAATATTTACCATATGAATGTATATATATATATATATATATATATATATATATATATCAGCCTAAGCCTTCCCTGGGAGAAATAGAGATACGCCATTAACCAGTATTTGAAATCAATGGTTTAAAAGTAAATTGAGATCCGCGTTGCATAAATATGAACGAAATCTGCCTCGTAGTAACAATACTAGTAGGCAATTTGACACGTGTCAACCGTTTTCAATGACTGTGTAATGTTTTCAGCACTTTTCCCCTCACAAAATATCTGCTGGTACTTTTTCCTGCGCAGACAACCGTCGTTTGTGAGAGTCGCGAATTTGACTTGCCTGACCTTGAGTTTTATGGCTCTCATATGCTCAGGACGGAGCTAGTTAGGGGCATGCTATCATATTTGTCAAGCAAATGGAATTCCACGTGGGCATTTTTGTTTCCTCCACGTTCACGTGAATATGGCGTCCAGCACTGTAAATTACTACATGATTCTGTATATGGAATAGAAAATATTCCAAGTGCATCTTTGTATATTTATTAACTGATTGTTCACTTGTCAGTAGAGTTTGCTCTAATCGCCTTTAATATGAATGTGTTCATGTGTTCTTCATACCTTACAAGAGTTACAAAAGATGTGCTTCTGTCGTTAAATCTCGAATCAGAACACAGGCATCTTAATATAAAAGTTTGTAGTATTTTTAACATCTTTGTCTGTACAACAAACCTTGGCTTTTAATAGCCGACAAATGCCAGGAGCAGTGGCCTGCCTGCCCTCAGCAGTTCTGTAGTAAATTCATTCGGTTCGCCATAAAATGTTAGACAGGAGTTTCCATTTGATTACACAAAGTTTCTAGGCGAAATTTGTATTCATCGTTCACCCCCCTTGTTGTAAGAAAGACTATTTTACAAATAATCTCGCTGTCAAGTACTTGATGTTTTGTTGTTTGAATGTCGACGTATTGTTGGACGGATGTTTAGGCGTCTGTTTGGTAATTAAAACTATTGGAATTAACATCTGTTGAATCTGGCGAGAGAATTTACAAACACAGAGAAATACATACAGAATTTAGGTTGGAATACCTCAATGCAAGACGTCACTTGGGAAAGGTTTTGTCCTGGGCGTAGATAGGATGAACTGTGTGGTGTGAGGGTGTGGACTATTGTGGACAAGCTAACGACCCTTCTGTCTCCATAATTGTTCGGAAGTTCTCAATCAGTTTAGCCACAATAGCGTTTTAAGAAGGACTCTTTTCTGTGGGGCAGTGCAGTTGTAAGAACAGATTTATTTAAGAAGAAGAATATTTTTCTCAGGTATTAACGAAACGTCCGAAATGTTAGCATAGTAGCCCGACACGGACACCTCGTTTGAACGTAAAGGCAACGTTCTGAAAATATAAACTGTGTACTATTAACCTCGTAGCCGTGACCGATTAACTGAAGGTATCAACTAATTTGCTCCCACATAACCTCAACCAAGTTACGCGTCTTTAAACCGGAAACGATTGGTAGTGACAGCCATTGTCAGCTTGTCAGATCCGGCTACAGGGAAGTGGCAGGCGGCCAGTAATTCCATCACACCATCACAGTCGGTACTGTCCGTTCACATTAAAATGGATGTCAGTTTTCCCACCGCAAGGTCGTAGAGCAGACGCGCCGGCCATTTTAAAAGTTTCTCTTGGATTTGAGACATTAGCCCATTACTTCTGCAAGCAGTTGCTCGGATTTTTAGGTAATTAACTCAGTTTGAATGTCGTATAAGGCGTGCAGTCTCAAAATCTGACGTGCCTTCAAAGTCTCTGAGCAGCCGATCTGGTCTTTGCCCCACTTTTCCCGCTGAAATGACATTTAACGAAATGAGGTGACAAGCTGACTTCTGCCGCTAATGGAAACTGTCCCAGTCGCCACGTACGCTGTATTTTCTCTCAAAGCGGAGGAGTGATTTCGAATCAATGTCGTCAGAACCGTGAGGTACATAACGTGAAATAGTACCAGAAGGTAAAGTAAGCAGTGAATAATATTTCGTAGGGCAAAGAAAGTTGTTTTTTCTTTATGAAAGCAATGAAATGGTACAGAAGACATGTTAGAAAGATATAGAAAAATGCGCTGGAGAAAAACATTCGATTGATCCTGTTAACAAATTAAAATGTAGCAGCTTGTTGAAGTGAGAGGTCCCGTAAGACGTCAACTGAATTGAAGAAATGCGGGTTCCGATGTACGAGGTGCGATCGGAAAGTTTCAAGACTGCGCGTATAAAAACCCGTACACTTATCTCAGGTATTAAATTCATCCATCACCCTCGAAGTAGTTCCCCTGGGAGTGAACAGAACGATCCCAGCGCCGCTGCCAAGCCTGGAAGCATCCCTGGAAATGGTGTTTGAGGCCAAAAACTGCTGAACTTTGAGGGCGGTGTGCGCTGGTGCGTTGTCATGATGCGTCGCATGTGGAGTTCTTCCTTTAGAATTAGCTGACAGGTCCCATAGCCTATCCCAATAATGTCGCACAAGTCGTTGATGGTACGACGTCGCTCTTCGTGAATGGCCTGCCGAATCTTCGTAACATTTTCGGGCGTTGTGCTCGAAGATGGTCGTCCAGAACGCTCGTCATCATCGACAGAGGTTCGGCCATTTTTAAAACGTGAATGCCACACAAACGTTTGTGCACGACCCATTGCGGACTCCCCAAATGCTTGCTTTAGCATTTCATAGGTTTCCGTGGCCGTTTTGGCGAGTCTTTGGCAAAATTTGATGCATGTGATTGTATGATTCGTAATGTTTAGGAGATGCTCGAAAGATGGCAGTCAAGATTTCTTCTTATTTTATACCGGTGTGACTAGATGGGCTATTGAGTGTTTGAAGACGCGCTCAAAATATAGCCTATTTTAGCATAATTTACTTTTTTTATATAAAAGTAGACGATCTCATCGTTGAAGAACATGTGACCGTCCCATCAGCATCAGTCAGGATGATTTGTTCTTGTAGAATGTAAAACAACATGGCGGGTCCGCGATTTTTATATGTAGTTTTCGGATTGATGACAATAACTAGTGAACATTTGGAGATGGACATGTGAAATTTTATGTGGAAATGAAACTATTTTCTGATTTTGTATGACTAACTTATGTTTTAAGAATTACAGACTTTTGAAGGCTCGAATTATGTGAAAATTGTAGTTGGCGTGTGAAATGCAGTTTGAATCTGTTGTGGTTTAGATAATTATTATGCTCGGGAGTGGATGAATACATTGCAGTTCTTGGTGGTCTCAACATAATCCATAGACTGAGAAATATACCGCTGCAAGGTGATAAAATATATTTTAAAGCAGTATTTCAGTATTTTCGAGTGGGATTAAAAATATTCGACAACTTAGCGGTTTTCTAACCGATATTCGAATCCGGGACCTCCAGAATACGGAACAGGAATGGGCCCGCTGTTCAAAATTTCTAAAATGTTGAAAATATTTATTTATGGTTTATTTTTTCAGTAGCTCAGACTACGTGACGTTGTTTGGTGAAACTAGTATATGAAAAGAAATCATCGTGAGAGAATCAGGTCTTATAATTTGGATGGAAATCGTCCAAATTACGATTTGCATTCGGTCTGCACGCGATGTAACGCGAAATAATGTCTGAGAACTGGGTAACTGGGTGTATGGGAGGGAAGGGTCATGGTCAGCGCGAACCTGCCGTGTTTTGAGGTGGGATCGATTCTAGCAGTGGCGTGCTGAAAGTTAAACTGTCGTACTATTGACCACATGTCTCCTTGAGCAACAATACTTAACATTCTGCATGGGCGGGTTTCGATTCAGTCTAAGATATCGATATTATGCTAGTACCATCTGAAGTGCACAGCGGAAATTGTGTCTGTTATTTGTATTTCTGCCATTATAAACATT